CCCCTTTTATTCCAAGTGTGACCCATTTTTCCAAGTGTTACCCATTGTTCCAAGTGTGACCCATTTTTCCTAGTGTGACTTGTTTCTCCAAGTGGGACTCATTTCTCCAAATGTGACCCATTTTCCCAAGTGTGACCCACTTTTGTGAGTTTGATCCATTTTTCCAAGAGTGACATTTTTCCAAGTGTTACCCGTTTTTCCAAGTGTGACCCATTTTTCCAAGTGTTACCCTGTTTTCCAAGTGTGACCCATTTTTCCAAGTGCGACCCATTTTTGTAAGTGTGACCCAATTTCGGAGCGTGACGCAGGTTTTCAAGTGTGAGCCTTTTTTCAAGTGTGACCTCTTTTTTCAGAGTGTGACCCATTTTTCCTAGTGTGACTCAATTTTACAAGTGTGACCTTTCTTCCAAGTGTGACCCATTTTTCCATGTGTGACCCATTTTTCTAAGTATGACCCATTTTTCCAAGTGTGACCCTTTTTTCTAAGAGTGATTCATTTTCCAAGTATGACCCTTTTTAACAAGTGTAATCAATTTTTGCAATTGAGAGCCCCTTTTTCCTAGTGTGTCCCATTTTCCCAAGTGTGACCCAATTTTCCAAGTGTGATCCTTTTATTGCAAGTGTAACCCCCTGTTTTCAAAGGGTGACCCCAGTTTTTTCCAAGTGTGACCCATTTTTCCAGGTGTGACCCATTTCTGCAAGTGTGAACCCCTTTGTTCCAAGTGTGACCCATTTCTTCAAGAGTGACCCATTTTTTCAGTGTGACCCATTTTTCCAAGTGTGACCCCCGTTTTTTTGAAGTGTAACCAATTTTTCAAGTGTGACCCTTTTTTACAAGTGTAACATTTTTCCAAGTGTGACCCTTTTTTCCAAGTGTTACCCGCTTTTCTCCATGTGACCCAATTTTCCAAGTGTTACTTATTTTTCCAAGTGAGACCTATTTTTCCAAATGTAACCCATTTTTCAAAGTGTAACCCCATTTTTCAATTGTTACCCATTTTTTCAACTATGGCCCATTTCTCTAAGTGTGAGCGTGTGACCTGTTGTTTCAAGTGTGAAACCCCTTTTTTTCAAGTATGATCTAATTTTTCATGTGTGACCCACTATACTGAGGGTGACCCAGTTTTCCAGTGTTACTTATTAGTCCAAGTGTAACCCATTTTACCAAATGTTACTGATTTTTCAAATGTGACCCATTTTTCTCCAAGTTTGACCCGTTTTCCAGTTGTTACCTATTTCTCGAAGTGTGACTAAATTTTTTAAAATGTGACCGATTTTTCCAAGTGTGAACCACTTTTCTTAGTGTGACTCACTTTTCCAAGTGTAAACCATTTTTCTAAGTGTGATCCACTTTTCTAAGTGTGACCTATTTTTCTAAATGTGACCCATTTTTCCAAGCGTAACCCGTTTTTCCAAGTGTTACCTATTTGTCCAGGTGTGACCCATTTTTTCATGTGACCCATTTTTCCAAAAGCGACCCAGTTTTACAAGTGTGACCCATTTTTCGAAGTCGACCTTTTTATTTAGGTGTGACCCATTTTTTCAAGTGTAACCCACTTTTATAACTGACCCATTTTTCCAAATGTGACCCCTTTTTGCACCTGTTACCTATTTGGTAAAGTTTGATCCATTTTTCTAAATGTGACCCATTTTTTCAAGTGTTACCCGTTTTTTCAAGAGTGACCCATTTTTACAAGTGTGATCCATTTTTCCAAATGTGACCCATTTTTCCAAGTGCGACCAATTTTTTCAAGTGTGACCCATTTTCCCAAATGTTACCTATTGTTCCAAGTGTGACTCTTTTATCTTAGTGTGACCTACGTTTCCAAGGTTGACTCATTTTTTCAAGTGTGACCCATTTTCCTAATTGTGCAGTGATGACAGATTTGTAACCTGATTAGCATAAGCACCATGACGTCACCGGAAATTAGATAAATGTAAGCGGAAAATTACACAGGTTCTTTAGATGGGCTTTTGACTTCAAACAAAAACCACAGGACTCGACACGAACTGGCAACTTCCACAATGAGGGCAGTGGTGGGGGCGGGGGGGGGGGGAAGCTTACTATCTTAGCTTTTAAAATAGGGGAGGGGTTCATTAAAGGAACTTTACGGTACATCAATCACGCCATAAACTTAACAGCTGGGGTCTTTTTCAGGGTCAGGAGGTATCTCATTTAACACACCCAGTGCAAAGCCAGTCTTCCGTGTCTTTCGCAGCCTCTCCATCATACTATGAAGGTACCACGAAAAGTTCTCTTCATTAATTTTGACAGTGTACTAGGAGCGAGCGTAGAGTCCGTGACAAGTGTTTTTCCCTCAGTGTTCTCAAACTCATTAACAATGTTTGGATATCTGATCTTAATTAGCATAAATTTTTACGATTTTATATCTCCGTTTTCTCCTTAGTTTTGGTTTCGATTGCGAAGATATATCAAACACTCAAGACAGCGTTTCACCACATTTCCAAATACCTCAAAACCCGTCAAAAATACTCCGCTACGCGTCGTATTTTCAACTCTCTTCTCGGTGTTTAGAAATGTGGTCAAACACGGTCTTTTGTGTTTGATATAATACTTGAAGTTGTAAATGGCTACTTGAAGTACCCCCGCTGTAATTCTTTCTTTTATTTACGAGAAATTCGGCCATCTATAAAAATTTATTTAAACGAAGGTAAGTATTTAACCTTCTGGGTTTTTTTTTTCACGTTTCTCAGCCTATCAGGAAATCGACTGTACACGAAATTTGACAGATCCCATTTGGTTTGTATCTAACATCAGTCATCCAGACACTCAAGATCAACTGGGCGAGGACCAGGAACACTTCGTCAATACCACATGGAAATGACCTTCGTTAGGCTCGAGCCGTATTAGAGCTTCCAGCCTTAAAACAATGGTAAAGACGCTCACGGATGCACAAGTGCTAGCAGTGATCACTGGAGTGAGTTGGACGTCAAGTAACAGTAGCCGTCGGCTGTTCGTGATTTTATTACAAAGCTTAAGCAATGACAACGGCGACCACGAGGACAACGCCAAATAAAAATCAGAATTTACATTTTACCCTAGAATATCCCAATCGTCTAGATCTGTTCAGTGCTCCTATTGGTCTCAGAACTTGCTCAGGCTAAATATGTAACGCCAGCGTTCAACTCTAAGTCAAATTACGAAATATTAGCTCCCGTCGTTCGCGTTCTCCAAAATACACAGAACTTAGTCATTTCACTTTGTTTTGCAGAGGACAGCCAAGGAATGTCCAAAGATTTATAGTGCACGTGCACACGCATTGTTCTACTATGTTCTCGTTGCAGTTGCCGTCGTGGTTTGCTTGAGCTCTCTATTATTCACAGCACAATGTTTACAGCATACGATACAGAATCATCTAAAGTCCTTGAAATCGAGTTACGTTTGGTGCACAAGCGCCACGCTTGAAAAACAAATCCATTTCCGT